ATAGTATAAAAGTAATATAATTATAAACATATTCAACGATTAATAAATAAATATTTAGACCCTTTACATGGACGGCGTAAACGCGTATCACAATTCGGATTGGTTCGGCTGTATCGATCGGCTGGAGCGATCACTGGAAAAGGTTGGAAAATATGAAAACTAAAAATTAACAAAAACTAAAATTAAAATTTATCAAATTTTAATTAAAATTGTTAAATTTACCAACAATAAATTTATTTCCAGGTGCTAAAAGAAGAGCAGCGATGCCGGCTGGATTGCCAGGACAAGATTGATTGGAGCAGCGTGGAGGGCACGCTCGAGATGGACATCATTGAGACGAGTAAGCATATAGATTTTACCTTTTGGAGCTTTTCCATTATCGGGGGGGGAGTTTCTTTGTATAGGGGTTTTTGTAAACTTAAATAAAATTTAACTAGCTAAAAACGAGCAAATGTTGCTCGAAAATGGGCAATTTTTTGGGGAAAAGTAAAAATTTCTAGAAACATTTCCTCTATTTATGTTTATATCTAGAAACATTCCCTCCTGGGCTTAGGTTTAGGCTTAAGCATAGGCTTAGGATTTAGGCTTAGGCTTGGGCTACAGCTTGGACTTGGGCCTAGACTCGGCTTAGGCTCAAATTAGGCTTAGGCTTAAGCTTGCTTCAGGCATAGGCATGGGGTTAGGCTTAGGCTTACCCTTTGGCTTGAGCTCAGGCGGAGGCGTAAGCTTGGGCTTAGGTTTCGACTTTGGTTCTTGCGCAGGCGAGGGTTTAGGCTTGGACTTGGGCTTAGGCGTAGTCTTAAGCTCAGGGTTAGGCTTAGGTTTAGCCTCATGACCATTACAAATTTTTTCATGCATGAAAGCATCGGTTCTGCGCTGTGCGCACGGCTGCTTCGACCGTTTGGGCTGGGTGAATGGCCGGAAGGTCGGTGGGCACATCATCTCGGCACACTTTGAATACATGCACATGTGCCAATATCAAGGTGATTTCGGCCAGTTAGCACTGGTATCTCAGTAAGTTAACGCTTTTTTATTAATTTTAGTGATGCGTGGGACAGACGCTTGTATCTCGGTGGCCAACTATCTGCTTTTTGACAACTCTCCGGCGATGAGGCGCAATCGCTGGGCGTACGAGATGCAGTACGGAAAGCCGGAGCTGTTTAGACCGGATCAGGTTGGATCAGGCTTAGGCTAAGGGTTAGGCTTGGCTTAGGCTTGGCTTGGATTAGACTTTGGCTTAGGCTCAATTTTGGAATTGGGCTTAGGTTTAGCTTCGCCTGAATTCGCTTAAGCTTGGCTTCAGCTTAGGCTTAGGCTTAGCTTAGGCTTAGGTTTGGCTTAGGTTCAGGCTTAGGCTGGGTTTAGGCTTGGCTTAGGCTTGGCTTAGGCTTAGCTTCGACTTGGTCTAGGCTTCGGCTTAGGGTTGGCTTAGGTTATAATTCAATTTCAGAAATACGTCGACATTCACCGAAAAATGATCCTCGAGCGGCGACTGCTCAACTATATTGAACGCGAATTTAAGGTGTCGAAGGCTAGTCAGGTATTTTTATGTCTGTAATAATCGTATATATTTTAAGATGGCTGCCGAGAGTGGAAAAGATCGGGAAAAATGGAATGAAGATGTCGACGACAAGGATCATTTCCCCTACGGGGAAGTGGGGAAGTTGCTGACGGACGGCGAGTGCCGCGTAAGTGGAAATAAACTTTTTTTAATCTGAAACAATATATTTTTGAAAGGACACGACTTACTCGGTCCTGTAAGGAATTTAGTTTATTATGATACCTTAACTGGTATGCATTGCTCTTATTTTTAAGGGGTTTTAAAGGAACCAACAATGCATCCTATGGATTTGATCGGCATTTGAACCCAAAATTCGGAAAGTTCTACAATTTATCGTAAAATTTGTAAAAGTGCATAAAGTCGAAACTCATAACATCGACATTACATCACATCCAAAGTCACGATCTCGTACTTAAAATGTGGGAGTTTTAAGATACCGAATTTTTCCACCGTAAGCCTCCCGGAAACTCGCCAAACACGATTCGAAAAATTCCGATATATTGAAATACCGACACGATGAATGCCAGTATTATGCAATTTGAATATTACGGCTGTCGAAATCACCAAATCTCAACATTTTGAAATGTCGCCATTAAGAATTTTAATATTATGAAATTTCGACACTTCGAAACCAAGCCCCCATTCCAGGTGCTCCGCGCCCCGATCCAAACCCATTTGACCGATCTGCTCGTCGAAGAGTTGACAAAGCGGGTGACAGAACGGCTGGCTACACGTCTATCCCCCGAACACCCTCCACACGTCTCTTGTTCAACATCGGAAATGCACGCACACTGTGATCGGGCCCTTGTTTTGTCGGTGGACGAACCGAATTGCTCGATGTGGTTGCCCCCAGAGCATAAGGGTTGTTCCATTGTTTTTTGTGTGGTTTAAAGATACCCGTAAGCCTGGGCAATGGCTTTTCTTTTCCATCGGTTTCCTGTCACTTTAAGACGCGACTTTGTTGCTCTTGTTGGTCGTTAAGCCATATTCCTATCCGTCTTCTACCGGGTATTTTGTTCACGACTTTTTCGTGGGTTTTTGGAATCTCATTTTATTGGAATTATGTGTTTCACTATTTAATAAATTTTTTTGAACGTGATTCGGTAAAAAAGGCAAGATAACAAGTTTAAGTCGTAGGTAAGTGAAAGTTAAGCCTAAGTCAGGCTTCAGCTAAGCTTAAACCAAGCCTAAGCTCACCAGAGCGAATACGAAGCCCAAGCAAATCCCATGCAAAGCCTAAGCTAAGCCTATGCCAAGCCTAAGCTAAGCCTATGCCAAGCCTAAGCTAAGCCTATGCCAAGCCTAAGCTAAGCCTAAGCTAAGCCCATGTTAAGCCTAAGCCAAGCCTAAGCTAACCCACAGCTAAGTCAAGCCTAAGCCAAGCCTAAACCAAGCCTAAGCCTAAGCCTAAGCATAAGCCCAAGCCTAACCCTAAACCTAAGCCTAAACCTAAGCCAACCCCCAGCAATGACGAGACATCATGCTAAAAAACCAAAGGTGGGCGTGTTGTTCAGGTGAAATCGGAGATGCCGATAGAATCTCTAACATCCGGGTTCCGCCACGATCCGATAGCCCTCCCGAGCGGCTTCTGGGTGGACAGATTGAATAATTGGGCACCGGAAGACGGGGGGCTATGCAACTATCCGTGTTGATGGTGTTTTTCGGTGAATTTCTTGCTTAGGCTTGGCATAGGCTTGGCTTAGGCTTAGACTGATGCTTAATTAGACTTAGGATTGGGCTTAGGTTTGGTTTAGGCTTAGGCTAGGCATTTAGGCTGGCAGGCTTAGGCTTAGTCTTGCATGCCATTTTGCGCATTCTACCCTTTTCCGCCTCTTTTTTGGTATGTGACGTGTGGCTCCAATTAGCCGGTGGCCCATATTCATAATTATGTTTGGCCTTTTCGCACCCGTCCGTGCCCCTAGGTCCCGTGAATTTTCGAAAACGCCGGAATATATAGCACAGAGCTGCTGGCTGCAAAAGGGTTCGGTTTTGAAAGGTTTTGAATTTTTCAAGCGGGTTTGTTTTGTTTTTTTATGGAAATGAACTCTTTTAGAATTTTTTGGTGCTTGGGCAATATCGGGGGGGTATTTATAACGTAGAAAATCGCCCGCTTAATCTTAATGTTAAAGGACAGGCAGGCGGAGGTGGTGGAGAGAGAGACAGACAGAGCGAGAGAGTGAGTGCGAGAGAGCCAGAGCGAGAGAGTGAGAAAGAGAGAGAGAGCGAGAGAGAGAGCGAGCGAGTGAGGGAGAGATTACCATTTCCGGTCCAAATCCATCCAAATCACGATCTTACACGATTATCTCATTACCGCACCTCTCAACTTTTTTTCGAGTACATTTGCAATGCCAACGCTCTATCTACCCAGCAGCAATACTCCCATCCCCTCGAAAAACACTGCAAATCCGCAGGAAATGCTTTTTTTTGCTGTTTTGCCGGAATCGGGTCGGAATTTTGGCGGTGACCCGTGGAAGGGGATGATCACAAATCTCGGCGATTATCCGTGCACGCGAAAATATTCTTATTTTTGCAGGCAGATCGGAGCGTTCCGTTGTGTTACTATAGACATGCGCTAATTTTTCTACAAAATTTATTTTAATGGCTGAGTGGTAGTGTTCTAGATTTCTAGGCGAGCCACCCGAGTTCGGCTCCCTGCCACGGCAAAAGTTTTGCTTTTTGGTCGGAGGCTGGCGTTTGAATTTTTGTTTTTCTTTTTCCTCAACGTGCAAACTTTACAAAGTTGTATGAAAAAATCCAAAAAAGTCGATTTTTCCACCAAAAATGACCGATTTTTGCAAAATTTCGTCATTAAATTTGTAAAAATTTTTAGGTAATTTTTCGAGTTGAAATATAATTATATTTTACTAAAAACACCAACAACGAACTTTTTTGACTTTCTAGGCGTTTCAAGACGCGTACAAAAATTCGGATCCCCCCGATAATGGGAAAGCACCAAAAAAGTATCATAAATTTATAGTTCGTCGATTTTTGTAGTATATTTTCGCCTTTTCACTATATATTTTCGAGGGGTTGATCTTTCATATCATCACCAGTCTCGAAGAAAAAAAGAACACCCCCCCCGCAATAGAAAAAGATTCGTTACGCGCGCACGACTTACTGAATGGGCCACTAATTTGCGTGGTCGGCACGCGAATTTTCTCTCGAAATGCCGACACCCAACCGGGGAGGCAAACAAGTAGCGGAAATTGGTCGGATATTCCGTGTCTGTACAGTTGACGCACCTCAGAGACCGCGGTTATTACAGGAAATAGGCCCCTCGCCAGGTAGGCAGTGACGTTTACGGTAGTTTGGTCGTTGGGAAAAATACAGAATTTTTTTCTACCGTCATACCTGTTGGACAGAATTTTTACTGGTGCTTTTTCGTTAACGGGGGGTCTAAAAGTTCAGAAATGCTTGGTAAAGAAATATTAGTTTTAATTGTGTTTTTAGGGAAATTTAACCTTATAAATTGTTTCAAATTCGAAATTTTGGTGCAACTTTGATATTTCAAAAAAAAAAAATTTGTAAAATTTTTGGCTATCTAAATAGTAAAAAGGGTGTAGAAACACTTCCTCCTATTATAAAAAAGTAGAAACTGAGTAAAAAGCCCCCCACCCCCGCTAATGCTCAAGAACCGGCGGACGTTTGCGGTAGTTTTGTCTAGGGAACCTATTTTAATTTGTCCATTTTTATGCCAAAAAATTGAAATTTTATATATCTAATTATTTTGTAGCTTTCATGAAGCATATTCTGCCCATCTTCTCCCAAATCAAAAAATCAGCTAAAAAACGCTGGTTGTTGTAGTTGGTATTAATTTGAGGTCCGGATTTGTATATTCCCAGTCGTCTCTAGCCACCAAAATCTGTAAAACAATTTTTGAAATATTTTCGCTATTTTTTTGTAAAATAAATTTGTCTCCAGGAACATTAGAAGACTTCCAAGCCTGCAAAATCTAACGTTTTGCATTCAACTATCTAGGCGTGATTTTTCTAGCAAAAAAACAACTCGAATTTATTCTTTCCCGGTACCGAACCCCGGCCACGCCATTTTTCGTCATCAAATTTTTTCTGCTACTTCCGCCGGTTTTCGCTCGCTGAATTAGTTTGCGCCAGTGGAACGCAACATTAGCAAATGAGATGGAAAGGTGGAAATGAGATTTCGGCAGGTGGCCGGGAAGTGGTGACAGAATTCTTTTTGCGCTAAAATGTATTTTACGGGAGAATCACCGTATGACGGTGTTGATTGGAAAGTACGGCTCGAGTTTTCCATGTTCATTACCTTCGAAAGCCCCTAATTATAAACGAACAGCCGTTGGCCAGAGATAACTCGCTGGCGTTCGGTGTTGCAACTTTCTAAATAGCGCTATAATATCGGCTGCGGGGATGCCATCTATTATTCCCATTACCCCCCCAAGTCCGACCCCATCCTCTGCATTCACTCGGCTATTCTGTCGTACCCCCTATTCCTGCTGTCATTTTATGCATTTTTTGAGGTGAAATTTCCTTCCAGAAAGTAGGGAATTGGCCGAGGTTGAAATATATACGTTACCTTATTATCGCTGCACTGACTATTTCACATTACAAGCTCTCTCGCTCTTTATCTCTCTCTCCCTCTCTCTCTCTCTCTCTCTCTCTCTCTCTCTCTCTCGCTCGCTCGTCTCTCGCACTCTATTATTCTCGCACCCCCTATCGCTCACTCGCTCTCTCTCGCACCCGCTCGCCCTAGAGATCTTTCCTCACTCTCTAGCTATCTCCCTCTCCCTTTCTCTCCCTCTCTCTCTCTCGCTCTCTCTTTATCTGTTCTCCCTCGCTTTCTCTTTCCCTGATCTCTCTTGAGTGCTGCGGCCCTTAAGTTCTAAGTGGGTGCGCTTCCTGAAGGATCATTGCTAGCCTACCTGTTGCTCCGAATTTCGTGTCCTCCTTAAACCAAAAATTATTCATTTCTCCCAAGTACCATTGCTAGCCTACCTGATTGTTTTTGAAAGCGGCAAGGCACGCTCCCTTTAAAGCTTTAAATATTCCCCGAGCACATTTTCCTAAGGGCCGAACCGCCACCCTGAATCGCAATCTGACATTCCCCCAAATGCCATTAATGCCGAACCCAAAACGTTTAATCCGTACCCAATAATCCGCCTTTTCGTTAGATCATAATATCGAGTTAGGCTCGTCCATTGTATTTATGCAGGGAGGCGATGCTTGGTCTTTGTGGCTCTCTCTGGCTCTCTCTCTCTCTCTCTCTCTCTCGGGCTTCAGAATTCTGCAACCTTCACAAAGCATACGACGCCACCGACCATTATGAATTCCAGGGGACTGTGGTTTCCCCAAGGGCCAATCTTTGAATTTCTCCCAGTGATCTCGACTAGCTTATGGACACGCCCCCTTTGGAATTCCTAAAAAGTCTTTGCTAGCTTGCCCCTTGTCAAAACCGTAGCCCGTGCCTTCCACGTCCCTTTAAACCCACCGCACCCCTGATTTTTCATCTCCCAACAATTTTCCCCCAAATGACGATTTCCACCTCAGCTGGGATTCGTGGGTGAGAAGCCGTGGGTAAGGAGAGCACCCCCAAAAAAGCTCCCTAATCACGCGAGGGCATTTTCGAGGCAAGTTTCTCGATCTGAAGAGAGAGAGGAGGGAGAGAAAGAGAGAGGGAGAGAGATACTGATAGAATATTCCGCGCGACACAACCCACCGAACGGGGCGGGGGCACATCTCGTGTGTTCGGTTAGCAGGGCACGACACGACATGACACATCGTTTCAATGTTGCAACAAAGTTTGGCCCTGGACTATTTTTGGGGGTTTAGGCTTAGGCTTGCGTTTAGGTTTTGGCTTCTGGTTAGGCTCCGGCTTCGGCGTATGGTTAGGCTTAGGCTTGGGCTTGGGCTTGGGCTTGGGCTTACGCTTAGGCCGAGGTTTAGGCTTAGGCTTAGGCTTGGGCTTGGGCTTAGGTTTAGGCTTGGGCCTAAGCTTGGGCTTGAACTTAGGCTTAGGCTTAGGCTTAGGTATAAGGTTAGGCTTGGGCTTGGACTTAGGCTTAGGCTTAGGCTTAGGCATAAGCTTAGGCGTGGGCTTGGGTTTAGGCTTTGCTTTAGCCCTACCCGCTTCGGTGCGAAGTTTTTTGCCCTGAATGCCAGAAC